TCTGGTTGGAGTATGTACATACAGTCACTGTGGGGACGACATCATCAATGCACTTATTGATGAAGCCAGTGACTGATGTGGTGTACCAGTCTGTGCTAGCAAAACAGTCCTGTAGCTTAGCATCTGCTTCATCTGACAACTTCTTTATTGACCGAGTCACTTGTGCTTCCTGCTTTAGTTTTCATTCTACTGCGAATGACGGGGATGAGGGCCCTGTCGCGTGTCTGGAGCAAAAATACTAAAAAACGAAAAGAAAACGAAAAAACTAAATAAATATTTCATTTGCAACCTGCAACTACAACAAACATTGTGTGCAAGTTGCATTGTGTAACTGCAGCCGCAGCTCATTGATGCTGTACTTAGAAATATGACAAAAGAGATCATTCTCTTGTGCATTCATCCTCAACAGTAACCATAGGTAAATTCTGATGCGCTATATCTGACTTTTATTTTATTGTTTTATTTTTTTTACATACTATCATGGTTTGTAGACTGCTGTTAACACAAGTGCAGTTGGAAACCAAAAAAGGTTTCAAACCAGTGTCTGTCTCTTACTGTCAATTCACATCGCTCTCTACCTGCCACTACTTTATTGCCAAACTCTCCCATTATGGGTTTTTCTTCCCAACAGCATGCACAACAGCATGCACAACAGCATGTTAGTGGTAGCCTGTCCAGCACAGTGTTACTGTTAAGCTGCCAACCAGGTTATCGTAAAGTCGCATTGCTGAAATTTGCATGAGGTTGGATCTTACCAATGGGTTACCAACATATTCAAATAATGATAATGATTGACATTTTTGTTAAAAAAACGTTATTTTGAGGAATTTATTCATACTAATTCATCCTTCCACAAGAAATAGTCCCAACACATCTAGGGTAGCTACCCAAGCCGGCTGGTCATTCGTTCTATCGGTTCGGTTGCTAGAGATGCGACCCAAGTCGTTCAGTCTTTTTGTTCTGTATCTATGGACACGACCCAGTCGTTCGTTCTAAATGTTCAATTGCCATAATGGCTGGCAACGTTCTTATCCCTTGCTTGCTAGCTAACCAACTACGGCTAACTTACAGTCACATAGCTGTATTTGCATTTGGTTAAGCTGTTTTCTAGTGACATTTACTTGTATACATCCATAACAATGAGCCAAAGAGGCGCGTTTTCGCCTGGCATAGAAAATGTGCTCACTCGTCAGGACACTGTTGTTCAGAACAGGAGCTAGCTAACAACACAGCTAACACAGTCACTTCAAACTGAAGCTTTAAAGACTGCAAAATAGCCGCACTTTGTTTCGTTGTACCTTTTTTCAATTGATATTTATTTGTACAGTGAGGGGAAAAAAGTATTTGATCCCCTGCTGATTTTGCACTGACAAAGACATGATCAGTCTATAATTTTAATGGTAGGTTTATTTGAACAGTGAGAGACAGAATAACAACAAAAAAATCCAGAAAAACGCATGTAAAAATGTTATAAATTGATTTGCATTTTAATGAGGGAAATAAGTATTTGACCCCTCTGCAAAACATGACTTAGTACTTGGTGGCAAAACCCTTGTTGGCAATCACAGAGGTCAGACGTTTCTTATAATATGCCATTTAGCAGACGCTTTTATCCAAAGCGACTTACAGTCGTGCGTGCATACATTTTTGTGGTCCCGGGGATCGAACCCACTACCTTGGCGTTACAAGCGCCGTGCTCTACCAGCTGAGCTACAGTTGGCCACCAGGTTTGCACACATCTCAGGAGGGATTTTGTTCCACTCCTCTTTCTCCAAGTCATTAAGGTTTAGAGGCTGACGTTTGGCAACTCGAACCTTCAGCTCCCTCCACAGATTTTCTATGGGATTAAGGTCTGGAGACTGGCGGTACATGGCCCCGTCAATCGTCCCTTTGATGCAGTGAAGTTGTCCTGTCCCCTTAGCAGAAAAACACCCCCAAAGCATAATGTTTCCACCTCCATGTTTGACGGTGGGGATGGTGTTCTTGTGGTCATAGGCAGCATTCCTCCTCCTCCAAACAAGGCGAGTTGAGTTGATGCCAAAGAACTCCATTTTGGTCTCATCTGACCACAACACTTTCACCCAGTTCTCCTCTGAATCATTCAGATGTTCATTGGCAAACTTCAGACGGCCCTGTATATGTGCTTTCTTGAGCAGGGGGACCTTGCGGGCGCTGCAGGATTTCAGTCCTTCACAGCGTAGTGTGTTACCAATTGTTTTCTTGGTGACTATGGTCCCAGCTGCCTTGAGATCATTAACAAGATCCTCCCATGTAGTTCTGGGCTGATTCCTCACCATTCTCATGATCCCCATCCTTTTTACGCTGCTGCTACTCTGTTAAGTATTTATGCATAGTCACTTTAACTCTACCCACATGTACATATTGCCTCAACTGCCTCAACTGGCCGGTGCCCCCGCACATTGACTATGCAACGGTACCCCCCTGTATATATAGCCTCCCTACTGTCACTTTATTCTATTGTATATATAGCCTCCCTACTGTCACTTTATTTTTTACTTCTGCTCTTTTTTTTTTCTCAACACTTTTTTGTTGTTGTTTTATTCTTACTTTTTTGTTTAAAATAAATGCACTGTTGGTTAAGGGCTGTAAGTAAGCATTTCACTGTAATGTCTGCACCTGTTGTATTCGGCGCATGTGACCAATAAAATTTGATTTGATTTGATTTGATTTGATTTGATCTTTGCAACTCCACGAGGTGAGATCTTGCATGGAGCCCCAGGCCGAGGGACAGTTCTTTTGTGTTTCTTCCATTTGCAAATAATCGCACCAACTGTTGTCACCTTCTCACCAAGCTGCTTGGCGATGGTCTTGTAGCCCATTCCAGCCTTGTGTAGGTCTACAATCTTGTCCCTGACATCCTTGGAGAGCTCTTTGGTCTTGGCCATGGTGGAGAGTTTGGAATCTGATTGATTGATTGCTTCTGTGGACAGGTGTCTTTTATACAGGTAACAAGCTGAGATTAGGAGCACTTCCTTTAAGAGTGTGCTCCTAATCTCAGCTCGTTACCTGTATAAAAGACACCTTGGAGCCAGAAATCTTTCTGATTGAGATGGGGTCAAATACTTATTTCCCTCATTAAAATGCAAATCAATTTATAACATTTTTTACATATGTTTTTCTGGATTTTTTTGTTGTTATTCTGTCTCTCACTGTTCAAATAAACCTACCATTAAAATTATAGACTGATCATTTCTTTGTCAGTGGGCAAATGTACAAAATCAGCAGGGGATCAAATACTTTTTTCCCTCACTGTATATATCCATAAAAATTATGCCTGGCTGAGAAACACTGTCTGCCTGTCTGTCTCGTCCCGACTCCCGACATGTTCATTACTATGGGACAGCTGGAGATTAAATTTGAATATTGAAACAATGTTGCAAATGTCGGAGAGACAGACAGCAAGGTTTATACAAATCTCTGCTGTTGAAAACTAAATGTTAGTCTAAAAGAAATGTGAGATAATGTCTAGATGCTTTTTATAGTGGGGATCAAGTTTATAAATTGATTAGCTGGGCTGATGAGACAGTGGATTGCGCAGTCAGATGGAACAGAGTAGATAGGCATTTAACGTCATAGATTTAGCCGGTGGTAACTTGTGGAATAGACACTGGCTGGAATGCAGATTTAACTTATCAGCATTCAGGATTAGACCCACCCGTTGTATAAATTAGTTTACCCATCAAATTGCCAGGGTTAAAGCTTCCAAGCCAATTCTATTATCACCATAGAGATACAGTATAATACAAATTGTGCTCTATTAAATACAGTACTTCTCACTGTGTAAGAATCATCTCCTTCTGGCCGGGAAATATTATATTCTCCTTTGTTGCCTGTGCACCATGCAAAAGCTTTGCCGTTGTCCCTCGGTGTGATGCTTTTGGGAAACGCTTCACTTAATGCACTGAAAGACTTGTGATAAGAAAGGCCCCATATAAGGTCTCTTAGAATGTATAGTATCCTCCCATTGGTGTAGAGTGAAGTTCCACCTAGACGCTGATCTTGGGGCAGTTTAGCATTTTCCCCACTAATGGTTAAAATTAGGATTGGGGGAGGGGAAGCTGACTTTATATCTGTACGTAGGGGAAACTTCACCCCGGAGTTATTTATTATCAGCCATTTTAAGTTGATATATTGCCACATAGAAAGACAAAACATTATAAGTGATATAATATATGCATGCTCATAACAAGTTTAATGCAAGATACCTTTTGTTATATACCCAGTGTTACAACACTTTCTTGTGAGCATGTAGAGCTGACAAACTTTATCATGAGTGGATAAGGGTGATGTCTACTCCACTAGCAGTACAAACGGCAACATCTAATAGGAGCTCACCTTCGACGAATGGTGTTGCAATTTCGGGTGCCTAATGGAAGTTTTATGCAACATCACTTTGATTAAACATTCACTTTGAAAACACTGCTTCTTCCTCTCCGCTCCGAGCACCTTTCCCTCACCACTATCCTGGCTCTCTGCAATTATTACAATGTAGCAATAGTGTAACGGCCATTAATGGCTTTGGAACATAGAAGTGTTTGCTTCAAAGCGTCCGCCACTATAATCCAGTGGCTGCTTGATTACAAATGATTTAACATGGCTGCAAAATAATTTAGCCTTGTCATGGGTGGAATGAACGAGATGAAAATTACCATTACTATTGACAACATTCACCATGTAGCAAAAGGGGTGCCGTTTAAAGGAGTGTAACATTTATTTTTAAATGATTACGCCCATTGTAATTGCACCCTGTGCGTACAAAGAGCTGGATTATCTGGACAACAGAATCTCATCAAGCAGTGACGAGACACCCATAAGGCGTGACTGCAGCTCAAATACAGTGGATCAGTGTACAAGAGCCAGGGACACAAAGCTCTAACCCAGAGCAATATACTGTACAGCAGGCCTACTGTATCTGAGGATCATGAAAGCTGAAGGTGGGGCTTTGTATTAAACTCGGTATGGCCTCTTTCCCTCTGCAGGAGACACAGGGAAAAGCTCAGGACGCAATTCTCTGAGAGCTGGAACCTGAGGGAGTGCAGTATCAACTCCTCTGAGCTGATGTCTAAATCCTGCCCCAGGCCTCAGTGCGGCCTGCAGCTTCAAAAGGTGAGATAAGGAACCAGCCTTTCTTATTGTATTCTACTTTGAGGTTTATATATATTTAAGATAAATGCAGTCTTTGAAAAAAATTATTGAGAGGTTCTTTGTCAGGGGTGAGGGGTATATGTGTAACAATTTTCACCAAATAGTTATTTGCATATCAGGGTTCTTTACTGTTGTGATGGATGTGAAGAACCATCCTGTTTTTCCTCTCTCCACCATGTTTCCTTTTATGCCATGAAATGCTGCTCATTAGGCCTGTTTCCTCTTATTTTATAGACTAACCTATTTCAACTACTCTCTTACTACAGGCCTTTTTATTAGATTATTGTATTACAGAATTAAATATAATTGTATGCATTGTCAGAATATGTTTATGTAAAAATGAAATGGAAAAGTATTTGAAAAAATACTATTTGTAAAAGAGGTTGATAGCCATCGTTGTTGTTGTTATGAAAGTGGGAACTGCAACTCAGTAGCCAGTAAGTTATTGTAATTTTACTAGAAAAGTATTACAGTAAAATCAAGTACATTTCTTTACTTTGAGCACACTTGGGACTCAACCTCAACTGGGATTTGAACTCACAACCTCTTGATTGCCAGCAACCTGAATTTCCTGCTACGCCAACAGGTCTGTGGCCATGGATTTATTGGCAAGAACACATTTCTGCACTTTGCTAAAAGTTGCCCAGAATCAAGTCAATAATTCTCAGATTGTCTGACAACACCAACATCGCAGTGCTCAGCAACACTTGAATGCTCTGGGGATTTGAATTTGCAACCATTTGATCGGGAGTGCATCAATGTTTTGCAGTGCCACCATGTACATATTTGTTAACATACACTACCGGTCAAAAGTTTTAGAACACCAAGGGTTTTTCTTTAATTTTACTATTTTCTACATTGTAGAATAATAGTGAAGACATAAAAAAATATGAAATAACACATATGGAATCATGTAGAAACCAAAAAAGTGTTGAACAAATCAAAATACATTTTAGATTTCAGATTCTTGAAATAGTCACCCTTTGCTTTGATGACAGCTTTGCACACTCTTGGCATTCTCTCAACCAGCTTCATGAGGTAGTCACCTTGAATGCATTTCAATTAACAGGTGTGCCTTCTTAAAAGTTAATTGGTGGAATTTCTTTCCTTCATAATGCGTTTGAAACAATCAGTTGTGTTGTGACAAGGTAGGGGTGGTATACAGAAGATAACCCCATTTGGTAAAAGACCAAGTCCATATTATGGCAAGAACAGCTCAAATAAGCAAAGAGAAACGACAGTCCATCATTACTTTAAGACATGAAGGTCAGTCAATACAGAACATTTCAAGTACTTTGAACGTTTCTTTAAGTGCAGTCGCAACAACCATCAAGCGCTATGAAGAAACTGGCTCTCATGAGGACCGCCACAGGAATGGAAGACCCAGAGTTACCTCTGCTGCAGAGGATAAGTTCATTAGAGTTACCAGCCTCAGAAATTGCAGTCCAAATAAATGCTTCATAGACTTCAACTAACAGACACATCTCAACATCAGAGTGTGTGAATCAGGCCTTCATGGTTGAATTGCTGCAAATAAACCACTACTAAAGGACACCAATAAGAAGAAGAGACTTGCTTGGGCCAAGAAACACGAGCAATGGACATTAGACCGGTGGAAATTTGTCCTTTGGTCTGGAGTCCAAATTGGAGAATTTTGGTTCCAACCGCCGTGTCTTTGTGAGATGCGGTGTGGGTGAATGGATGATCTCCGCTTGTGTATTTCCCACCGTAAAGCATGGAGGAGGAGGTGTTATGGTGTGGGGGTGCTTTGCTGGTCACACAGGCAATGTACTCATTAGCATATATGGGGGCATGGTCTAAAATATGTTGTATTTGTGCCAACCGTTAGTGGGTAACGCCATACATTAAGTTGCTCCTATTAGTATGTAGCTACACAGTAATAACTGTAGTAACATAGTAGTTACATATGTGTTACTATGTAATTACATGGTAATAAGGTTGTAACACTATCAGTTATTACACAATTGGAACAAGGAATGCATAATTTCACATCCACTTGCTACACATTTGTTGTTCCACTATGTAACTATGTTTTGTAATTTGATGTTTAAAAGTCACCTGTGAATTACCATGTTAATAACTCAAACCAAAATCTGACCTTGTCACATGTAACTACAAAGTGCCACTACCATCGAATCCATATGTAATACCAGGGTTGATAAATAGGGTAGGACCTTTTTCACTCATGTAGTTACATATATTAGATCACACCCCAAATATGCTAATGAGCTCCTTTACAACACCTACATTTTAAAGCGCAGTGCTGATTTGACTTTATATTCAAAATATTGGGTAGAAACATCTACTATTACGTTATCCACACCGACCACTAGTAAATATTCCCTGTTTTAGGTCAGTTAGGATCACCACTTTATTTTAGGAATGTGAAATGTCAGAATAATAGTAGAGAGAATGATTTATTTCAGGTTTTATTTATTTTATCACATTCCCAGTGGGTCAGAAGTTTACATACACTCAATTAGTATTTGGTAGCATTGCCTTTAAATTGTTTAACTTGGGTCAAACGTTTCGGGTAGCCTTCCACAAGCTTCCCACAACAATACGTTGGGTGAATTTTGGCCCATTCCTCCTTTCAGAGCTGGTGTAACTGAGTCAGGTTAGTAGGCCTCCATGCTCGCAAACGCTTTTCAGTTCTGCCCACACATTTTCTATAGGATTGAGGTCAGGGCTTTGTGATGGCCACTCCAATACCTTGACTTTGTTGTCCTTAAGCCATTTTGCCACAACTTTGGAAGTATGCTTGGGGTCAATGATCATTTGGAAGACCCATTTGCGACCAATCTTTAATTTCCTGACTGATGTCTTGAGATGTTGCTTCAATATATCCACATAATTTTCCTTCCTCATGATGCTATCTATTTTATGAAGTGCACCAGTCCTTCCTGCAGCAAAGCCCCCCCCCCCCCCCCCCCACAGCATGATGCTGCCACCCCTGTGCTTCACGGTTGGGATGGTGTTCTTCGGCTTGCAAGCTATCCCCTTTTTCCTCCAAACATAACAATGGTTATTATGGCCAAACAGTTCTATTTTTTTCATCAGACCAGAGGACATTTCTCCAAAAAGTACAATCTTTGTCCTCATGTGCAGTTGCAAACCGTAGTCTGGCTTTTTTATGGCGGATTTGGAGCAGTGGCTTCTTCCTTGCTGAGCGGCCTTTCAGGTTATGTCGATATAGTACTTGTTTTACTGTGGATATAGATACTTTTGTACCTGTTTCCTCCAGCATCTTCACAAGGTCCTTTGCTGTTGTTCTGGGTTTGATTTGCACTTTTCGCACCAAAGTACGTTCATCTCTAGGAGACAGAATGTGTCTCCTTCCTGAGCTGTATGACGGCTGTGTGGTCCCATGGTGTTTATACTTGCGTACTATTGTTTGTTGAGGTGTTGGCTGATTTCTTTTGATTGTCCCATGATGTCAAGCAAAGAGGCACTGAGTTTGAAGGTGGGCCTTGAAATACATCCACAGGTACACCTCCAATTGACAAAAATGATGTCAATTAGCCTATCAGAAGCTTCTAAAGCCATGACATAATTTTCTGGAATTTCCCAAGCTGTTTAAAGGCACAGTCAACTGAGTGTATGTAAACTTCTGACCCACTGGAATTGTGATACAGTGAATTATAAGTGAAATAATCTGTCTGTGAACAATTGTTGGAAAAATGACTTGTGTCATGCACAAAGTAGATGTCCTAACCGACTTGCCAAAACTATAGTTTGTTAACAAGACATTTGTGGAGTGGTTGAAAAACGAGTTTTAATGACTCCAACCTAAGTATATATGTAAACTTCCGACTTCAACTGTATATCAATGATGGCGCTCTTGCTGCTGGTGACTCTCAGATCCACCTCTATGCAGACGACACCATTTTGTATACATCTGGCCCTTCATTGGACACTGTGTTAACAAACCTCCAAACGAGCTTCAATGCCATACAACACTCCTTCCGTAGCCTCCAACTGCTCTTAAACGCTAGTAAAACTAAATGCATGCTCTTCAATCAAACGCTGCTTGCGCCCACCTGCCCGACTAGAATCATTACTCTCGGCAGGTCTGACTTAGAATATGTGGACAACTACAAATACATAGGTGTCTGGTTAGACCGTAAACTCTCCTTCCAGACTCACATTAAGCATCTCCAATCCAAAGTTACATCTAGAATCAGCTTCCTATTTCGCAACAAAGCCTCCTTCACTCATGCTGCCAAATATGCCCTCGCAAACTGACTATCCTACCGATCCTTGACTTCGGCAATGTCATTTACAAAATAGCCTCCAACACTCTACTCAGCAAATTGGATGTAGTCTATCACAGTGCCATCTGTTTTGTCACCAAAGCCCCATATACTACCCACCATTGTGACCTGTATGCTCTCGTTGGCTGGCCCTCACTATATATTCGTCGCCAAACCCACTGGCTCCAGGTCATCTATAAATCACTGCTAGTCAAATCCCTGCCTTATCTTAGCTCATTGGTCAACATAGCAACACCCACCCGTAGTATGCGCTCCAGCAGGTATATCTCACTGGTCGTCCCCAAAGCCAACACCTCCTTTGGCCGCCATTCCTTCCAGTTCTCTGCTTCTAATGACTGGAACGAACTGCAAATATCTCTGAAGCTGGAGACTCTTATCTCCCTCACTAACTTTAAGCATCAGTTGTCAGAGCAGCTTACCGATCACTGCACCTGTACACAGCCCATCTGTAATTAGCCCACCCAACTACCTCATCCCCATATTGTTATTTATTTTGCTCATTTGCACCCCAGTATCTCTATTTGCACAACTTCTTCTGCAGATCTATCTCTCCAGTGTTAATACTAAATTGTAATTATTTTGCACTATGGCCTATTTATTGCCTTACCTCCAAAATTTACTACATTTGCACACACTGTATATAGATTTTCTATTGTGTTATTGACTGTATGTTTTGTTTTATCCCATGTGTAACTCTGTGTTGTTGTTATTTTTATCGCACTGCTTTGCTTTATCTTGGCCAGGTCGCAGTTGTAAATGAGAACCTGTTCTCAACTGGCTTACCTGGTTAAATAAGGGTGAAATAAAAAAAATATCTGAGTGTTGATTCTACACTCTTAGAAAAAAGGATTCCAAAAGGGTTCTTCGGCTGTCCCCAAAGGAGAACCCTTTTTGGTTCCAGGTAGAAACATTTTGGGTTCCATATAGAACCCTCTGTAGAAAGGGTTCTACACCCACCCTAAAAGGGTTCTACAAAATTATTTGATAAAATATTGATTTAGGCCTTTACTACTAAAGCCCATGGAAACGCATTGAATTACACATTCATAAATGGCAAAAAGGACAGTAAAAAAAATTAACCATGAGAAACAAGGTTTTGAAGTGTCTGTCCTAAATCTACATTTGTATTTTTTACACATACAGTATTTGACTATTTTTTGGGTAGGCACAAAACTACCTTCATACTTCCATTCATTTTTTTAAACCTGTACCGGTTACCTTCAGACGAGTCCCATGACACTTGTGGGTGTTTTAAAGCAAAATGCCATCGTGTTCGTGAGTCTCCCCTTTCAATAGAGTGGTCATAATACTTTCTAGGTCCAACCGTGAGAAGGTCTGACAAACACCGCTCTAGCTCTGCCACCTTTTGAATGCAGTGTATTAAGACGCATCCAATGCAAAAAACCTTGATATCTCTTTCTTAAACTAACAGATTTTGATGGAGCGTTTTTGGTTATGTAACTTAGATTGACGCACCGGTGTGTCAATCAAATCTAGGGGGTTAAACACTATTATTGCACACAGAGTCCATACAAGTTATGTGACTTGTTATGCAAATGCTTGCCATAACAAAGGGGTTGAATAATTATTGACTCAAGACATTTCAGCTTTGCATTTTTTATTAATTTGTAAACATTTCTAAAAACATAATTCCATTTTGATATTATGGGGTATTGTGTGTAGGCCGGTGACACAACATCTCAATTTAATAAATTTTAAATTCAGGCTGTAACACAACAAAATGTGGAAAAGGTCAAGGGATGTGAATATTTTCTGATGGTAATAAAGTGTGTACTTTTAATTCAAACACATGCACTTAGGCAGTCACTTGGTGAAGGCTTCATAACTAGAAGTTATTGAATGCAGCAATGATGTCTTTGTCACTTATATCTGACATTCACTTAAAAAGCATGCTGGGAAATATGCAAATAAGGCTTTACAACCTACAATGTTAACCCCCCTCCCCCAACTCCAATAAAGTGTTAATTTAAGTCGTAATATGCAACACCCAATTTGTGAACATTTTGAAAAGTGTTAGGTTAACACTATTTCGGTGGGTCACATACAGTATAATGTCTAAGAAAGTCTTAAAATTCTGATCTCAAATTTGCTGTGCAGAGCATTTATGAACACTTTACATCAAGTGTTGCTGAGCACTGCTATTTTGATGTTGGTTTTGTCAGATAATATGACAATTATTGACTTGATTCTGGGCCACTTTTAGCAAAGTGCAGAAACAGATTGTTGCCAATAAATCTGAGGCCAATCTCTGTTATGCCAACAGACCTGGTGGCGTAGTAAGAAATTCAGGTTGATGGCAACCAAGAGGCTGTGAGTTAAAATCCAGGCTGAGGTTGAGTCCCAAGTGTGCTCACAGTAAATAATTTTACTGTAATACGTACAGTGAGGGAAAAAGTATTTGATCCCCTGCTGATTTTGTACGTTTGCCCACTGACAAAGAAATGATCAGTCTACAATTTTAATGGTAGGTGTATTTGAACAGTGAGAGACAGAATAACAACAACAAAATCCAGAAAAACGCATGTCAAAAATGTTATAAATTGATTTGCATTTTAATGAGAGAAATAAGTATTTGACCCCCTCTCAATCAGAAAGATTTCTGGCTCTCAGGTGTCTTTTATGCAGGTAACGAGCTGAGATTAGGAGCACACTCTTAAAGGGAGTGCTCCTAATCTCAGCTTGTTACCTGTATAAAAGACACCTGCCCACAGAAGCAATCAATCAATCAGATTCCAAACTCTCCACCATGGCCAAGACCAAAGAGCTCTCCAAGGATGTCAGGGACAAGATTGTAGACCTACACAAGGCTGGAATTGTCACACCCTGGTTCTGGGACTCATTATGTTGAGCCAGGGTGTGTGCAGTCTATGTGTTTATGTTCTATGTTGGGTGTCTAGGTTGTTGTTTTCTATGTTTGGTCAATGACTCCCAATCGGAGGTAACGAGTGTCAGCTGTCGGCTCGTTATCTCTGATTGGGAGCCATATGTATACTGTGTGTTTTCACCTTGGGGTTGTGGGTTTTTGTTCCATTGTTCTGTCAGTGTCACAGAGGACTTCACTATCGTCATTTGTTTTGTGGTTTTCGTGGTTGCTTTAATTTAATAAAGTAAACATGTTCGCTCAACACGCTGCGCCTTGGTCCGCTTCTTTAGACGATCGTGACAGGAATGGGCTACAAGACCATCGCCAAGCAGCTTGGTGAGAAGGTAACAACAGTTGGTGCGATTATTCGCAAATGGAAGAAACACAAAATAACTGTCAATCTCCCTCGGCCTGGGGCTCCATGCAAGATCTCACCTCGTGGAGTTGCAATGATCATGAGAACGGTGAGGAATCAGCCCAGAACTACACGGGAGGATCTTGTCAATGATCTCAACGCAGCTGGGACCATAGTCACCAAGAAAACAATTGGTAACACACTACGCCGTGAAGGACTGAAATCCTGCAGCCCTTGCAAGGTCCCGCTGCTCAAGAAATCACATATACAGGGCCGTCTGAAGTTTGCCAATGAACATCTGAATGATTCAGAGGAGAACTGGGTAAAAGTGTTGTGGTCAGCTGAGACCAAAATCGAGCTCTTTGGCATCAACTCAACTCGCCGTGTTTGGAGGAGGAGGAATGCTGCCTATGACCTCTGTAGCTCAGCTGGTAGAGCACGGCGCATGTAACGCCAAGGTAGTGGGTTCGATCCCCGGGACCACCCATACACAAAAATGTATGCACGCATGACTGTAAGTCGCTTTGGATAAAAGCGTCTGCTAAATGGCATATTATATATTATTATATTATATTATAACACCATCCCCACCGTCAAACATGGAGGTGGAAACATTATGCTTTGGGGGTGTTTTTCTGCTAAGGGGACAGGACAACTTCACAGCATCAAAGGGACGATGGACAGGGCCATGCACCGTCAAATCCTGGGTGAGAACCTCCTTCACTCAGCCAGGGCATTGAAAATGGGTCGTGGATGGGTATTCCAGCATGACAATGACCCAAAACACACGGCCAAGGCAACAAAGGAGTGGCTCAAGAGGAAGCACATTAAGGTCCTGGAGTGGCCTAGCCAATCTCCAGACCTTAATCCCATAGAAAATCTGTGGAGGGAGCTGAAGTTTCGAGTTGCCAAATGTCAGCCTCGAAACCTTAATGACTTGGAGAAGATCTGCAAAGAGGAGTGGAACAAAATCCCTCCTGAGATGTGTGCAAACCTGGTGGCCAACTACAAGAAATGTCTGACCTCTGTGATTGCCAACAAGGGTTTTGCCACCAAGTACTAAGTCATGTTTTGCAGAGGGGTCAAATACTTATTTCCCTCATTAAAATGCAAATCAATTCATAACATTTTTGACATGCGTCTTTCTGGATTTTTTTGTTGTTATTCTGTCTCTCACTGTTCAAATAAACCTACCATTAAAATTATAGACTGATCATGTCTTTGTCAGTGGGCAAACGTACAAAATCAGTAGGGGATCAAGTAGGGGATCAAATACTTTCTTCCCGCACTGTATCCTATAAAATTACAATAAGTTACTGGGTACTGAGTTGCTACGTACAGTATATATATTAGCACTTTGCACTTTTTCTAAGTAATTCCCTAATTCCTCTAAAGTAAGTAAAAAAATAAAAACATTGCAGAACCAATTTTATTTCTGTAAACTTAAGTTTACCATTTTTATTTAGATAATAAAGACAAATGGTATGGACAAAATGATTGGTAGTTGTTTGCACAGCCTTTGGTCAATATAACTGGCAACAAAATCTTATTGTAGCCATCAATAAGCTTGCTGCTCATTTCTACTAGCAATTTGGCCCGCACTTCAATGTTTGATTAAGGTTTAACACTAACTCTAACCCTGCTGATTTTATGATGTCTTGCACACATTCAAGGACCCAGTACCAGAGACAGCAAAACAACCCCACAGCATTATTGAACTTCCCCTATGTTTGATTGTAGGGAGGGTGTTATTATTCTTTGAATGGTTCATTTGGTCATTGGTAAAAATAGGAAGACCCCACTGCTGAATGAGACACAATAATGCCTGATTTAACTATAAAAATAATAAACAAGCCTAAATCCTGGGGGAAATGTTCTGTGGACCAATTAAACAAAATTAGAGCGCATTGGCAATACAGATGAGCATTGTGGTTACTGACGACCAAATGAAGCATTCAATGAAAATAACACCCTCCCTACAATCAAACATAGGGGAGGTTTGATAATGCTGTGGGTTTGCTTTGCTGTCTCTGGTACTTGGGGCCTTGAACGTGTGCAAGGCATCATGAAATCAACAGATTATCTGGTGTTTTGGAGTCCAATGTTCAACCCAGTGTCCAAAAATTGGGTATCCATTGAAGGTTGTGGATCTTCCAGCAGGACAACAACCTCAAGAAGAGATGCTGGACTGCTCTGGAGTGGCCAGCGAAGAGTCAAAATCTGAATCACATCCAAAACCTATGGCGAGATCTGAAAACAGCAGTTGGTGGAGGGCACCCCTTAAACATTGAAGAATTAGAGCAGTTTGCTGCTAGAAAGTGGGCCAAATTGCCAGGAGAATGGTGCAGCAAGCTCATTCATGGCTATAAGAAGCGTTTGTCTGCTGTTATCTTGGCCAAAGGCTGTGCAACTAAGTACTAGCTCTGGGGTGCCAATCATTTTATCCATGCCATTTGTCTTTACTTTCTAAATTAAAATTTGTGAATTTAAGTTGACCTTCTGAACCTCTCTGTGGGTCTTTTGGGCAGGATGAACCTGTTACTGAAGCTCCTACTGTGTTGCATTAGAGTGCTGTGGAGTGGGTGTGCGGCATTGTCCATGATCATGTGTGTTTTAGCTTGCAGACATTTTATTAACATGCCATGCATTGACTGTAGAACTTGCATCTGATTGTAGCACTTGCTCGCTTTTTTTTCCTCAAAAAAAAAAGGGGGGAACTATTTAAGAAAAGTGCAAGGGTGCCAATATATTTGGCCACACCTGTATATACTGTATATGTCAATAAAAACACAAACAAAAACTAAAATGTGGCAGATTGCTTAAGAGAGGAGGTGCCACAACTGGCAATTACAGAAGTCTCCAGTGAAACATCTCATAGTTTTACGACCTCCTGGTCATGTTTGCACCGACAGACTCCTGTGACACCGATTGCAATCCTGCCTCCTCATGTCACATTACTCTTAAGTCCCGTTCCCCCCAGCTGAGTTTGTGAAGGTGGTCAAAATGATCAAATCTTCCTGCGCCGGAGGAGAACAAGCTGTAACAGGTCACTAAGGGAGTCAAGGGTGTAAAGGCAGAGAAGAGCAAGTGAGCTTATCAGCAATGAGAGCTCTGAAAAAGACTCTAAGTCTGTGTCCCAAATGGCACCCTATTCACTAGTGCACTACCCTATTCACTGTGCATGATATACAGTAGGGAATAGGTTGCCATTTGAGACACAACCTAAGTCACATCCAATCGCTTTAATAATGCACCGTAAGGACGGAGGCTGACAAACATGAGAACTTTAGTCAGTGGAATAATACTATCTGCTGTTATTCTCCGTGTTCAGGAGGCTTTGGGGCATCGCACTGCGCCTTGCGTGCGTCAATGATCCCAGTACCGGGGCCCTTGTAAGATAATGGTTCTAATTTTGATAGAGGAAGAAATAGAGAATTGAGGGGAAATTATTTAGGAATCCATTAATGTAATCTTGTCTGGGATTAATTCCTGGCCTCTGTAGAAAGTAGTGGGAGAGCCGCCAGGGACTGTAATCAGAAAGTGTTGACTTAATCTGCAGTTTAATTAAAGGGACCTGTGCTGAGGGGGCCATATATCACAGGGGAACATCTCCTACAGTGACTCAGGACTATTGTGGCTGCATCTGCTGAGTGTATATCGTGTTATCTATGGCTATCGAGGAACCCACGTGTATTCATTATGTTTGTATATGTCCACGAACTGTATGGGGTCCTAATATATACTTTCCAATTTCCTATTTTCCTCAACTCATGTCCTTATTTGGCCTTTATTTGTATTTCACTGCAGTGCTGCAAATCTCATGGGTCCTCCCCTCCTCAAGGGGACAGCAGTCTGCCAGCTGGCGCACCCACAGCAGCTCCACCTATTCTCAACAGAGAGCTCTCCAAAGGGAAACACTTCAGGTACTTGTACAGTAGAACATCTTCTCTCGTTCTTCCCGCACCTCTAGTTTAAATAGGCCGCTCCAGTCAACAGAAGTGGATGCAGCCAAGTAAGACTTTTAATCATCCCACAATATGGCACAATATGTTAGTGTAAAACATAAACAGTGCTTTCATGGAATGTAAAAAAGATTTATGATAATTGTAATTGGTAATAAACATGTTAATATGCAATTAGGCTCCGTTGCCAGGCACAAAGGCGCTTATCTGCATCAAAAGCAGATACACGTATCGGGACATTTCCGTTTGATTTACAGTTTTACCAAGTTAGCGGCTAGCATGAAAATCACACTGATGGCTTCACAACAGATGGGGAAATAAATATTTGTATATTCGAATAAGATTGCAATTGCAATAGATGTTTGCATATCATCCACAATGTGTTCATGTGCCATGTATTTCTTTATAGTCTCCTGTTTCTCTTATTTGCTGAAGAGAAACTACAGAGTGGGAACTACAGTGTGGTCCTTTAAGCCTTTTCAATATTTTGACCAATGTTTTGTGTTTCTGTCTTACGTATTCTTTAACATGGCTCGTCCCAGGAGTAGCTCCCTGTCCCTCAGTCTAGCCCAAAGACACTGGGACACTCATCGCACGAGGAACCCACCCATCTCTCGAGGACCAAGGGTTGCTGGCCCCCCGTATAGGCACCTGCAGGAGGTGGAGTCTACAGAGATGGAGGCAGAGTCTTTAAGAGGGTAAGCACCTGGATGTTCTGCTTTCCTTTGAAACTGAATGAGGACAGTGTTGATGGCAAGGTTGTTTGGTCTTGATAAGTCAGTTTGAATCATGTGCTTTGAAATATACTGAACAAAATTATAAATCAACTTGCAACAATTTAGAAGATTTTACTGAGATACAGTTCATATAAGGAAATCAGTCAATTGAAATAAATGCATTAGGCCCTAATCTATGGATTTCACATGACTGGGAATACAGATATGCATCTGTGAGATTGAATAGGGCAGTCAACATGAGACAAAGTCCTGCTGGCACTTTCTCTGCAGAGGACTATCCGTCAAATGTTCACACAAGACCTGATGCAGCATTATGAGGACACGATTAGGGAGCAACCCTAGAGAGCGGGTCAGTGACGTCAAAATGTATTGATTCTGCTTTAGAAATAAATAAGAATAGAGTAGATATTCAACTGTACTGTACAGTACTGTTCTGATTGTCAATTTTTGTGAGAAACCCCTTCCACACACACGTTAAGAGGCTTCAGTGGTTAAGTGCCTTGCTCAAGGGCACAATGGCAGGAGATGCTACCTGGGATCAGAGTGATGCATCAGAAGTTGAGGCTCGACACTGTCTCCATTATAACAATATATTATTTATTATAAATCCAAGGTTAGAAAACGAAACGAGACGTTTCGGTCAGAGACCTTCATTAGACAGACCTCTTTGAACACAAAACCCCCTTTCATGGGATCAGAGCAGCCAGCCCTCCGGTGGCCAGTTCACTTCCCACTTTATTGGGAACAATTTATTCTATAGTCCAGTGTTTCCTTTTAGAAAATCTATGTTAAAATGTGAATTTACACACACGTTACTACAGTACAATGCACCCAATTGCCAGGTAAGGGACCAATCATACTAATCATGACCAGTCATGCTAATGCTGATAGCTTGCTCTCCCTTTCTCAGTTTTTCTATGATACCCTGATTCAACTGCTGAAGTTAGCAAACGAGGCACTGTGGTGAGTGTGAAGGAAAGACGGCAGCGTTCAAAGTGCTAAATTACATCAAACTGCAGCCTCACAAACTTTGTGCACGTCCGCTATTGTGTTAAATTTGACATACCAAACGATACTGCTGATAACACCAGCAAAAAAGGCCTGTAAAAGAATCATACCATGCCTATACTCATACTCTAAAGTAAGATATTCCTATTTAACCAAGTAGTCTGCTATTGTTTTGAATTCAACATACCAAAAGATACTGCTGGTTACCATTATTATAATTTTTTCTTAGTAAATGCCAGACAAACACTACCTAAAAAGGCCTGTAAAATAAAACATTGCCCAATCATATCTCCATGTCACTGACAACACTATTCCTATTTTGCTAAGGTGGTTTAGTTAGCATAATTTGCTGGCAGCTTGGAACTTGAGTGACGGTGTGACTATGTAAGATGTCAGTCATTAAAGCAATTCTAAATGCATCCCAAATAAAAATGCATCCCAAAATACTTTTGACCAGTGCCCTATTCATGGATGGCACCTCCATAACTTGGTCGCGTAACACCATTGTTATGAGCGTTCTAAAATCAAATCAAAGTTGATTGGTCACGTGCACAGGATACAGAGTGTAAACGGTACAGTAAAATGCTTACTTGCAAGCTCTCCTCAACAGTGCAATACACATTTATATAATTGTTTAAAATAAAAAGTAGTAAAAGATTAAGAATAATTGTAATGTTAGGAAATATATATACAGTAAGAATATACAGTATAGACTATGAAATGTGCTAGAGTTTGTAGTGACATGGTTGAGCAGCTTAAATAATAATACATTGTAGCAGCAATGGTGACTGTGTGTGTGTGTGTGTGTGTGTGTGTGTGTGTGTGTGTGTGTGTGTGTGTGTGTGTGTGTGTGTGTGTGTGTGTGTGTGTGTGTGTGTGTGTGTGTGTGTGTGTGTGTGTGTGTGTGTGTGTGTGTGTGTGTGTGTGTAACAGTGGGTGAGTCAGAGTCCCGAAAGTTGAGTGGTGCCCAGTCATTCTTAACGAGGGCTAATTATTGTTTTGTCTAAATTACACTATAATGGCTTGGAAATAAGATTGCATTCCTAAAGTAAGCAAATAATTATTAGGAAACAACTTTGTCATCATTATGATGTCGTCAAATTTACTTTAGAGAGATGGTAATGTTGCCATTAGCTAGCAAACTTTGTCAAAAATACCTAGCAATGCTAATGTCAGAAAGCTTAAATCCAGAGCTTTTCCCTAAATCTTAGCTAGTTAGCAAATGTTATACCACATCTAAAGTCAATCTGACAACTTCTCAATGATGACCAAAGGTTTTCCTACAAATCATTTGCCTCCAATTGAAAATGCATTGAGTAGAACGTTCAGTCAGGAGTCAGTCTTCAAAATAACTTTCAAAACAATATTGTGATGAAACGTGCAACCCATGAGTAGACCTTGGCCAAAAGTAGTGCACTACAAAGTGAATAGGGTGTCATTTGGGATGTAACCATAGTTCTCCCAGAGTATATTTTTCAATATTCTTATTAACATGCCAACCTGATTGAGTATCACAGTGACTTGTAAGATACACACTGCTGTCAAACTCTTTATATATGACCTATTTCCATAATTAACATTCTGAAACAGTGCAGCATGCAGACAGCTCAGCATATTCTTTCAATGGCTGTGAGAAGATCTCCTCCTGTAGCACTGCACAAACACACGCAAACACATACAGTATGCAGACTAGTATGCATGCATACACACACTATGCACACACACACTTACAATGTGCGCACACACATTCAGTGTGCAGACTTTTCACGCATACACACACACACAGTATGCACGCGCACACATAGAGTATGCACACCCCAACACGCGTGCGCACACACACACACACACAGTATGCATTCACACACAAATAAACACACACACACGCAGAGAGAAAAGAACTAACTAGGATAATTTTTTTAAAGCCGCAGAGGAGGAATCTGTAGCCATAGGCAATTATTGGTAACATGAGGCTTGCAAATGCTCGGGGAACGAGTGGTATAAGATTTTTTTTCTTCTTCACCGACGTGCAAAGATTGTGTTAGTTATATTTGACTAGTTGGAACATATTAACTATTGATAACCCCTTTACAGATCCATCAACAAAGCAAGGCTGTGCTGGCCCATGGAAGTTGGACTGACCTATTTCTATACTTAACAGCCATACAATACTAACATCCTCCCTCCCTTGTTGCCATGGAGATACCCTTTGGTCTTCGGGAATGAGGAATGAGCAGTAAAAGATGGATAGTGAGAGAGAGAGAACGCAGAGACAGAGCGAGGGAGTGAGAAAGAGAGAGAGAGGAAGTGAGGGAGACAGAGAGAGAGTGAGGAAGGGAGAGAGAGAGACCAAAAAGAGAGAGAACAAGAGTGGGAAAATGGGCATGAGAACCTGCCTGTGTTTTCAATGTTGTCAGCAAATCCCCATAGAGCATTGTCAGTTTCATTAAACACTGTTAGAAACACATATTTACCCTTCACAGAATGGATTGAAGCCGAATTTGCCATGACAGTTATTTTTAGATATGTTAAGATGCCCTGGTTTCCCCCAATAATACAGAAGAACGGGGAAAGTAATTCAATTATTTAAACGGTCTCTGAAGTGAGCGGGTCTTTGTAGGTTTCACTAACAGCGTATGAGATTTAAGACACTTTTTAAAGTTAGTGCTCAATACAGTACCATTTGTTTCTGTGTCAGTATAGTATTAGACAGCTTATCCTAGTGACCATGGGCAAAATAGTCTCTAGTGTATATGATTTTAGGTTTGGTGTGGGGTTTAAAGACACATTTATTTATTTATTTTCTTTACTTGTTTCAGTCCAAAAACATCCCTAACACTTAAACTTAGAGATGGGGCTGGGGAAATGTAACCACTCTCAAAATCATAGCTGGAGCTATGGATACAAGGACTGACAGTCCACGAGATTGACATGATAGTTTGAAACTAGGATTCATATGACAACATAAACATAATCGATGGAGTAATATACAGTGAGGAAAAAAGTATTTGATCCCCTGCTGATTTTGTATGTTTGCCCACTGACAAAGACATGATCTGTCTATAATTTTTATATATAAGCTTTATTTGAACAGTGAGAGACAAAATAACAACAAAAAGATCCAGAAAAACATATGTCAAAAATGTTATGAATTGATTTGCATTTTAATGAGGGAAATAAGTATTTGACCCCTCTGCAAAACATGACTTAGTACTTGGTGGCAAAACCCTTGTTGGCAATCACAGAGGTCAGACGTTTCTTGTAGTTGGCCACCAGGTTTGCACACATCTCAGGAGGGATTTTGTTCCACTCCTCTTTGCAGATCTTCTCCAAGTCATTAAGGTTTAGAGGCTGACGTTTGGCAACTCGAATCTTCAGCTCCCTCCACAGATTTTCTATGGGATTAAGGTCTGGAGACTGGCTAGGCCACTCCAGGACCTTAATGTGCTTCTTCTTGAGCCACTCCTTTGTTGCCTTGACTGTGTGTTTTGGGTCATTGTCATGCTGGAATATCCATCCACGACCCATTTTCAATGCCCTGGCTGAGGGAAGGAGGTTCTCACCCAAGATTTGACGGTAAATGGCCCCGTCCATCGTCCCTTTGATGCTGTGAAGTTGTCCTGTCCCCTTAGTAGAAAAACACCCCCAAACCATAACGTTTCCACCTCCATGTTTGACGGTGGGGATGGTGTTCTTATGGTCATAAGGCAGCATACCTCCTCCTCCAAACACGGCGAGTTGAGTTGATGCTAAAGAGCTCGATTTTGGTCTCAGCTGACCACAACACTTTCACCCAGTTCTCCTCTGAATCATTCAGATGTTCATTGGCAAACTTCAGACGGCTCTGTATATGTGCTTTCTTGAGCAGGGGGACCTTGCGGGCGTTGCAGGATTTCAGTCCTTCACGGTGTAGTGTGTTACCAATTGTTTTCTTGGTGACTATGATCCCAGCTGCCTTGAGATCATTGACAAGATCCTCCCGTGTAGTTCTGGGCCGATTCCTCACAGTTCTCATGATCATTGCAACTCCACGAGGTGAGATCTTGCATGGAGCCCCAGGCCGAGGGAGATTGACAGTTATTTTGTGTTTCTTCCATTTGCAAATAATCGCACCAACTGTTTTCACCTTCTCACCAAGCTGCTTGGCGATGGTCTTGTAGCCCATTCCAGCCTTGTGTAGGTCTACAATCTTGTCCCTGACATCCTTGGAGAGCTCTTTGGTCTTGGCCATGGTGGAGAGTTTGGAATCTGATTGATTGATTGCGTCTGTGGTCAGGTGTCTTTTATACAGGTAACAAACTGAGATTAGGAGCACTCCCTTTAAGGGTGTGCTCCTAATCTCAGCTCGTTACCTGTATAAAAGACACCTGGGAGCCAAAAACCTTTCTGATTGAGAGGGGGTCAAATACTTATTTCCCTCATTAAAATGCAAATCAATTTATAACATTTTACACTATCTCTCACAGTTCAAATAAACCTACCATTAAAATTATAGACTGATCATTTCTTTGTCAGTGGGCAAACATACAAAATCAGCAGGGGATCAAATACTTTTTTCCCCTCACTGTAACCTTAATTTGGGTTTCGGTAGGGTAAGACAATTGTACCAAGCTCCGAAGGCATTTATAAGTTATATTCTTCAATAATTATATTGCAGGAAATACCCCAGATTGTGCCTTTAAAGCCAGTTATCCCGATGGCATTATTTTACAATTTACTGTCAAATAGCATCTTCAACTCTGCAACACTTTCGGTTCTTCAGGCAACGTTCCTTGATTCATATGCACACACTCACCTAATGCTAGGCCTAATTTCAACATTTCTGCTATCTGGGCTTTCAGGCAGTCATCAGAAAAGGTGTACTCAGTTTGATAAGGAGTCTGACTTTCAAGACCATACCCCCCACAATCCAATAAAGCAGTCAGTCAGTGGGGTTTTCATATAGCCGCTCAGACCCAGCTTTGATGCTAAAGCCTTAAATCTCTGATAAGGTTGTCACAAGAGAAATTATTTTCAGTTAAACATTTAAGCAGCCAGAGTAGACTGTCCATGCCGTAGATTATAAATAAGTACACAAAGATTATGAATTCCCAGATTTAAACAAATATTTCACCGGTGTAGACAGATGTTTTTTAGGCTTGAATTGTCTGGGAAGGATTTGTATTCTATTTTTTTCTCTCTCGCTCTCGCTCTCTCTGTCAGGTGAAAATGAGAAGTCATGCAATAAAGGTCTGGGAACAAAAGGTCATAATCTCCGCCCAGTTTTTTTATATTTTCTGTTCTCTGCGTCCCTGCAGGTTTGACACTGGGAGGGATGGAGGTGACGACCGCCAGCGCAGCGGGTTCCCGAATATGCAAACCATGTCTCGTTCCGCGAAGAAGAAGGGATGGAGGGAGGTTCCCTGCACCCGTCTGGACAGAGGAATAACACCCGCTCCTCCTTCTCTCCGCACGCACTCCGTCCCCATCATCCCCTCTCTCCAGGAACAGGACCGCGAGGGGGGTCACGTGGACGGGAGCAGGGAGAGGGTCTCGCATGGAGGAGGTCTCGCCGGGCCAGGTTACATGGCCCAGGCACCTGCCGGTGGCAGCAGCCACACACCCCCTCACTCCTCCTCCTCCACCTCTGTGACTGTACTAGAGTTAGAAGACAGACCCAGTCATGTGCGTCCCCACGACATTAAGACTACACTGGGGTCAGGGACAAGCCCTATTCACACGCAACAGGGCTCCTCTGAAACTCCAGTAGGGCCAGGGGGATCGTTCCAACACTCTAGCCTTGTGGCCTCTGGGACAGCAGCATCTGGATCAGGTGTTGCCGGGTTGAATAGCACAAACACTCTTATTGCTGTGACCGTCCTTGAGTCAAAGAAAAAGAGAATGTGGTCTACACCCAGACTGCTCTACAGCTTTCCCGGGAGCAGGGGTCCTCAGGAAGGTGTCCAAAGAGAGGCCCAGGCGCTCTGGAAACAAAATGTCCCCCTGGTGAATGGAGGGGCAAATGCCTTCCTTTCAGTAGTGGTGGCAAAAGGTGCTGGAATTGCTTGTGCCAAAACTTCTGCCAGCTGATTGGATTATTTCTCGCCAACTTGCAAGGAGAGACTCTGTCCACCTGCATCGATGACACGGGAGGGGGGTAGGACCACCTGCTTAACTAATTGGCCCCTGTTTTCTGTAAAAGAGCCACAGCAGCCTGGACTAAAGAGAGGAATTAATTGATACATTTAAGACACTGAATTCTTAAGAAAACACACCCACAGTCTGTGTGAATAATGTGAAACAATGCAGACAGACATAAAGACCGGTGGAAGCTTGATATAAATGTGTATTTGAAAAAATATATAAATGATTTATATGCCACTATTTAAACAAAGCTTCTACTTAGAAACTAAAATAGTGTGTCATCTCTATGTTGTTTCTCTATTGTAAAGAAATGAAATTATACATGTCATATATATATATGTCCTATAGATGTGTATATATATTTGACATGACGACGTGACAAAATAAAGACAAAGACCACAGTGTTAAAAGGTGTGTGGTTGATTTAATTTCTGAAACATATTTCTGCTTAATCTTTGATGTCTGTGTCTCTCAAGTTGGTGTGGGTATAGTCTAGTAAATTGTATAGCAAAATAAGTTTATCCTACAGTGGGGGAAAAAAGTATTTAGTCAGCCACCAATTGTGCAAGTTCTCCCACTTAAAAAGATGAGAGAGGCCTGTAATTTTCATCATAGGTACACGTCAACTATGACAGACAAAATGAGGAAAAAAAATCAAGAAAATCACATTGTAGGATTTTTTATGAATTTATTTGCAAGTTATGGTGGAAAATAAATATTTGGTCAATAACAAAAGTTTCTCAATACTTTGTTATATACCCTTTGTTGGCAATGACACAGGTCAAACGTTTCTGTAAGTCTTCACAAGGTTTTCACACACTGTTGCTGGTATTTTGGCCCATTCCTCCATGCAGATCTCCTCTAGAGCAGTGATGTTTTGGGGCTGGGCAACACGGACTTTCAACCCTCCAAAGATTTTCTATGGGGTTGAGATCTGGAGACTGGCTAGGCCACTCCAGGACCTTGAAATGCTTCTTACGAAGCCACTCCTTCGTTGCCCGGGCGGTGTGTTTGGGATCATTGTCATGCTGAAAGACCCAGCCACGTTTCATCTTCAATGCCCTTGCTGATGGAAGGAGGTTTTCACTCAAAATCTCACGATACATGGCCCCATTCATTCTTTCCTTTACACGGATCAGTCGTCCTGGTCCCTTTGTAGAAAAACAGCCCCAATGCATGATGTTTCCACCCCCATGCTTCACAGTAGGTATGGTGTTCTTTGGATGCAACTCAGCATTCTTTGTCCTCCAAACACAACGAGTTGAGTTTTTACCAAAAAGTTATATTTTGGTTTCATCTGACCATATGACATTCTCCCAATCCTCTTCTGGATCATCCAAATGCACTCTAGCAAACTTCAGACGGGCTTAAGCAGGGGGACACATCTGGCACTGCAGGATTTGAGTCCCTGGCAGCGTAGTGTGTTACTGATGGTAGGCTTTGTTACTTTGGTCCCAGCTCTCTGCAGGTCATTCATTGCGTGTGGTTCTGGGATTTTTGCTCACTGTTCTTGTGATCATTTTGACCCCACGGGGTGAGATCTTGCGTGGAGCCCCATCGAGGGAGATTATCAGTGGTCTTGTATGTCTTCCATTTCCTAATAATTGCTCCCACAGTTGATTTCTTCAAACCAAGCTGCTAACCTATTGCAGATTCAGTCTTCCCAGCCTGGTGCAGGTCTACAATTTTGTTTCTGGTGTCCTTTGACAGCTCTTTGGTCTTGGCCATAGTAGAGTTTGGAGTGTGACTGTTTGAGATTGTGGACAGGTGTCTTTTATACTGATAACAAGTTCAAACAGGTGCCATTAATACAGGTAACGAGTGGAGGACAGAGGAGCCTCTTAAAGAAGAAGTTACAGGTCTGTGAGAGACAGAAATCTTGCTTGTTTGTAGGTGACCAAATACTTTTTTTCCACCATAATTTGCAAATAAATTCATAAAAAATCCTACAATGTGATTTTCTGGAAAAAAAATCTCATTTTGTCTGTCATAGTTGACGTGTACCTATGATGAACATTACAGGCCTCTCTCATCTTTTTAAGTGGGAGAACTTGCACAATTGGTGGCTGACTAAATACTTTTTTCCCCACTGTATTTGACACATTATGTCAACAGTTGCTGACTATGGGATTATTCACTGTGCTGAATGAGGTCTCTCTACTACATCTTCTTCCATCGAAAGATGAATCAAGTCACACCCAGAGCAGCCCAGACATCTCATGCCAGACCACGGCGGTGTTCCTCCCCGGTAAAAGCAAGGTCCTCCATTTGATAAGGAGCGTCAGACAGATTTAATCATTTACTTGTTTATCTCTTCCCCAAAACAGCCTCGTTAATTAAAGTGCCGGTCTCATTATTTTTGCATCAGCTATTTAGAAAAACTGTAGCGAGGAGAGGAGAAAAGTTTTTAACTAGCCGATCTTCAGGTGAGAATGTTTCTCAAGAGGAATTAATCAGGGGAAATATGAAAGCTCCGGCGCATGTCCCAGGTCCTGTTCACAACAAAGTAGAGTAACCCAGAGGGAAAATGTTGTCTTTCCCTCCATATTAGTAACACTTTTTTTCTGCTCAGCTCTTTTTTATCAGTTCTACAAGCAGCAAAATGACTGTGCAAAATATACAGGTTACTAATGAGTGGGAAAGGAGATAGGAGGATTGCAGAGGGTGAGTAGCCTACTCGTAGAGTAAGTGCAAAAAAGGCTTTTAGATGCCATTTCAGTGATCAATCAAATCGTATTTGTCACATGCTTCGTAAACAACATGTATAGACTAACAGTGAAATGCCTACTTATGGGTCCTTGCTAACAATGCAGCGAAAAATATATAACAAATAATAACACAAGGAATAAATACACAATGAGTAACGATAACTTGGCTATATACACAGGGTACCAGTACCGAGTCGATGTGCAGGGGTACAAGGTAATTGAGGTAGATAAGTACATTATAGACGTGACTATAGTCGCAAACTGTCTGTGTTTACATCTCTCTCAGTCCAATCAACAAAGATGGCTACAGTGCCTTGCAAAAGTATTCAGCCCCCTTGGCGTTTTTCCTATTTTGTTGCATTACAACCTGTAATTTAAATGGATTTTCATTTGGATTTCATGTAATGGACATACACAAAATAGTCCAAATTGGTGAAGTGGAATGAAAAAAATAACTTGTTTCAACAAATTCTAAAAAATAAATTACGGAAAAGTGGTACGTGCATATGTTTTCACCCCTTTTGCTATGAAGCCCCTAAATATGATCTGGTTCAACCAATTACCTTCAGAAGTCACATAATTTGTTAAATAAAGTCCACCTGTGTGCAATCTAAGTGTCACATGATCTGTCACATGATCTCAGTATATATACACCTGTTCTGAAAGGCCCCAGAGTATGCAACACCACTAAGCAAGGGGCACCACCAAGCAAGCGGCACCATGAAGATCAAGGAGCTCTCCAAACAGTTCAGGGACAAAGTTGTGGAGAAGTACAGATCAGGCTTGGGTTATAAAAAAATATCTGAAACTTTGAACATCCCACAGAGAACCATTAAATCCATTATTAAAAAATTGAAAGAATATGGCACCACAACAAACCTGCCAAAAGAGGGCCGCCCACCACAACTCACGGATCAGGCAAGGAGGACAGTAATCAGAGAGGCAACAAAGACACCAAAGATAACCCTGAAGGTGCTGCAAAGCTCCACAGCGGAGATTGGGGGGGCACACGGTGTGGATGACGAGGCAGCAGGAGGCCGTGGAAGGGCGAATCTGCAGGTTAGGAGAGGAGGCCATCATGTTACGGGGGCTATTGGTTCAGAGGGAGCAGGAGTTATTCGGTCAGAGGGAGGCGCTACTGGAGGCTAAAAGGGAGAAGGAAAGTGTAGAGGCACGGCGAGAGGAGCTGGTTAGGCAGCAGAAGGAGCGGGGGTTAATAAAGGAACCCAGTCCCGCTCCTCGCACCAAGCAAGTGGTGCGTGTCGCCAGTCCGGTTCGGCCCGTTCCTGCTCCCCGCACTAAGCCAGTGGTGCGTGTTCCGAGTACGGCCCGACCTGCTCCTCGCACCAAGTCAGTGGTGCGCGTCGCCAGCCCGGCCCGGCCTGTTCCTGCTCCTCGCACCAAGCCAGTGGTGCGCGTCGCCAGCCCGGCCCGGCATGTTCCTGCTCCTTGCACCAAGCCAGTGGTGCGCGTCGCCAGCCTGGCCCGGCCTGTTCCTGCTCCTCGCACCAAGCCAGTGGTGCACGTCGCCAGTCCAGCCCGTGCCCATTCCACCGGTACCTGGTCCGGCACCGGTCAGCTGCTCTACTCCGGAGCCAGAGCAGTCCGCTCCACCGGTGCCTGATCCAGTTCCGGTCAGCTGTTCCACTCCGGAGCCAGAGCAGTCCGCTCCGCCAGTGCCTGATCCAGCTCCGGTCAGCTGCTCCACTCCGGAGCCAGAGCAGTCCGCTCCACCGGTGCCTGATCCAGCTCCGGTCAGCTGCGCCACTCCGGAGCCAGAGCAGTCCGCTCCACCGGGATCCAGTCCAGCTCCGGTCAACGGCTCCACTTCGGAGCCAGAGCAGTCCCCTCCACCGGTGACTGATCCAGCTCCGGTCAGCGTCTCCAGTCCAGACCATGACGTCAGCCCCTCTCCAGGTTCGGGGTCTCCCACACCAGGATCCAGACTGGGCCTGGCGTATCATGGGAGGAAGGAGAGGGGAAGCAACGCGCCGAGGTCTAGACCAGACCAGGGGCGCAACAGGGAGGCGAAGAGTGAGAGGTCGTCACGCCCTGAGCCGGATCCGCCGCCCTGAGCCGGATCCGCCGAGGCGGAATGCCCACTCGGCCCCTACCCTGTTATGTTTATGTTATGCGGTCGGAGTCCGCACCTTTGGGGGGGGGGGTACTGTCACGCCCTGACTCAGGGGATGCTTATATGTTGAGTCAGGGTGTGTATATTCCTTGTTGTGCTTG